ATGCCACCCTCCCTTTCTTACATTTCCTGCCACCTCGGGCTTATTAGCGGAGGGGAACCAGATCTGAACACTTCGGTTCTTGAAGGGTAGTTTTCTTCCTCTCTTGGACCCGCGCAGAGGCACGCGGGGGCCGGGAGACAGGTGGCGGGGTCGGGGGTGTGTCCGGGGGGGGGGGGGGATTCGCCTAGAGAGATGTGGCAGGTGGGGGGGGCCAACGCGAAACCAAACCAAGCCTTTGCTTCGAAGTTAAGCCTGGATGAAGGCTGAGACTCGGGAACCCATGTGCCGCGACGGCACCCGGAATGGTCCGATCTTGGGTGAGATTTATTTCCAGGGCTGCCCAAACGTGGTGGAAGGAGACCCCAATCATCTACTCCCTCCTTTCCTTTCCCCCTAGTCTCAGGCACATCGGAGGATCTCCGTGGGGCAGGGTCTGCGTTTCTCTTGGAGGGGGAAGAGAGGCCAAAAAGACAGGACTTCTTGTCTTTTGACGCTCCGGCCATTGCAAGCCTGCTTCTGATCCCCTTGGACTTCCTACAATATTCTGCTCGGTTTGATACCTTCAGCCCCTCCCCAAAAGATGCTGCAGGAGAGGAGAGGAAGGGAAGATTAATGTCTGCATGTAGGAAACTCTGCACATGGGCAGGGAACCTGGTGGGGCACCCTCTCTCTTTACATCACTGCCTTTTCTGCACCGAGACTTTCAGAGCTTGGAACGGCCGGAGCGAAACGCTCAGATGTTACGAAAGGGATCACAGAAACCTGGTGAAGGGGGCCCAACCACAAAGCACATTTCGAACGTGGGACACGACCAGAAAAGGTGTCCAATGGGCCAAATCGATTCAAAACTATTTGGATCGTCCAATCTAGAAGGCAGAAAAGGATCTGTCTAGCCATAGTTACTGAATACGATGGGTATGTAGAGCTTCCCTGTCCAGGGGCAGTGTATCAGGAATGCAAACAGGAAAGCGTGAGGGCTTCAGAAACACAAACCAGCTCGTGGGCCCCCCAACTTTGGGAATTTCACCTCATTAGCCAAACTCACTTCTCCGCCTCCCCCACGGGAATAGCGATGATCAGGAAGCAGGTATTTCTTCTGCTGGTAGGCGGGGCGTTTGTAGATCATTCTGTGACATCACAGCAGCTCAACCAATGGCTGGATGGAGAAGGCTGACTGGCAAGCAATCATCCGAGGAGGATTTCAGATATAAAACCCGGGAACTGAGATAACGCAGTCCGAAAGATAAACCAATCTCCGCACGGAGCAGGGTTTAAATGCTTAGGGATCACGGGCTCAATCACGTCAGTTGCAGGTCTAGTGGCTGCATTCGGACAATGCACTAACCACCTTGGTTAATCTTGGTTAATGTGTGGCTCAGCGCAGTACCCAGAGTTGAGAGATCAAACCCCAAAAAGCGGTTATTTCAGCACGTTTGGTGGTGAAAGCCAGGCCCTGAGAGGGTCCCCGCGGAGCCATCCCAACTTGGGGAGAATTCCTAAAATCTATTCCATTTAAACTGCAAATACGGGCAGAGCCCCACGGGTGTCCTTCAGTGGGTTGGGCCCCGTTGGTGCCTGCTGTGTTTTTATCATCGCGTTAATTTATAGTTCTGCGCGTTTTATTTGTGAAAGCCCCCTCCCCGAGAGTCGGGAGGCGTAAACATTTAATCAACCAATCAATAAAAATAAAATAATTAAGCTGGCGGGGGCGAGGGGACAGGCCAGGTGATTGATCACAAATCCAATTGGGAAGTTGAGGAA